CATACCAATTGACGCACACATCAGTAATAACTCAGCTTCACTTGACACGTAGATGCCACCTCATAATTTACTTTTAAAATATTTTAGGTAAAATACACTTCAATAGCCACAACTTTCGCTTTTGTGACAATTATAACCATAACTTTTGAAATACTAAAAATAACCAGAATTTTGATGGGATTTTTACAAATCTAGCCATTTTCGCTACAAACTTTCGAAATATACAAAACAGTCGCGACCTTGTCCTCATTTCTTCTCAGGGATTTGTTTGAGAGGGATTGCAACGAATCAGGCCAATTAATAGCGACGAATCGAGCTTCACCGAAAACAAGAACAACTGCACCCGCAACAGTTTCGGGGAATTGGAGGGGAAAATACACTACGAGCCGCGACATCCTTCCTTCTCGACCCATCGTTCTATGTAGCCACCGGAGATACTGTCTCCTGTTTCACCGACGCCGCCGATGCCTTATTCTTTGTGACCGTCATCAGCTTCTCCCAACAGCCTTCTTGCCCTCTTTCTTGTCTTTTTTTGTGACTCCACCAAGAGTTCGAGGCCTTCTCCTACAATCTAGAGATTGAGGATCTGAATCGGCAATTTGGAAAATAAAGCCTCCTTCTCCAGTCATATTGTTAACTTGACACCGTTAAAGGGATGAATGCAAGCGGATTTTTTAAGTACTTCGAAAGTTGTGGCTACAACTATCACTAATGTGAAAGTTGTGGCTTAATTGTCACAAACGTGAAAGTTGTGGCTATGAAAGTGTATTTTGCTTTTTTTGTTAATCCACGTGGATCACCAACTCATAATTTCCATAAGTCCATTCATATTGTTAAGTGACACCGTTAAAAGGGATGGACGGAAGTGGGTATTTTGTGTATTTCGAAAGTTGTGGCTATAACCGTTACAAACGTGAAAGTCATGGCTATGAAAGTGTGTTTTGTTTTGTTTTTTGTTTTTGTTTTTAACAATTGAACAAAGTTAATTGAAGTGATAATTTTGTTACGACTTAATAGACCTACCGCCTACGTGACCATTATGCTACGTTTTGAAATTTGGTGCCGATTTGGTAACATTTGAGATAGTTCAGTGACTACTTGAGTAATTACCCCAGGATAGATACCGACGTTGAGCCTCCTAAATTTCGCTAGTGCCCACCAATGGAAAATTGATTAAGTCCCATAAGTCCCGGATTAAGAAATTTGAGAAATGGCGTCCACCAGCGTGTCAAGGCCCCAAATCCTCTCCCTTTACCGCTCAATCCTCCGGACAGCTCGCCAGTTCACCGACTACAACATCCGCCAGTACTCCAGGCGCCGGGCGGTCGATGGATTCCGGCAGAACGGGGGTTTAACTGACCCGTCTTCAATCTCCGCTGCATTCTCCGACGGGGAATCTCAGCTCCAAGTCGTCAAGAGACAGGCCGTCGTGTACTCGCTCTACGCGCCCGAAGTCAGGAGCGTTATGGAGACCTACTTAGCAGGCAAGCGATCATGAAGAAGAGTTCCATTGTACTTGTGTTCCTTTCTCTCAATTTCCACCCAAGCAGTAAGATTTTAGTTTTTGTAATCTTCTTTTTTTCCCCATTATCATCTCAAATTTCTGATAGGATTTGGACTTGCTTTGTATCATAAGGTGATCTGGGTTTAAACTTTCACCCCGTTTGTTCTTCATTTTTTGCGCCTTCAGAGTTCATTCAGGCTTTGCTAGAGCAAAGCAAGAATAACTACAGATGTATGATTAGTTAGCCTAATCCAGTAGAGAATACACAGCAGGGCCGATTTTAAGCGTATGGTTTAGTTGTTGCATAGTTAATTTGGAAATGTTTCTGTTTCTAGTGTATTCTAGCTGTATATTGTAGTTTCATGAAAGATCTTTGAGGGGGGTGTTACTATGTTAGCAGATTTGCCTGTGAATTTCCATGTTTTGTGGTATGGTTGGTATCTTCTACTTTTGGTGGGAGGAGATCAGATAATTGAGCTACTAGGTACTTGTCTTTATGTCATTGTGATGGTGTAGGCTGAATAGGAATCTCTCGTTCTTTTTATGCCAATCATGCTCTTAGAGTCCAGTTTCTCTCCTTGATTCCGACCTCAACCAAGTGTTTAGTTCTTGTGTGGTCTTTCAGCTGCTTCCCCAGGTTGATGTTTCTGGATATTCTAAGGACCGTCTTGACCGTTTAATGGCAGGTAGCTGGTGAGGTAATTGATTTAGGGACAATATCAAACCGTTTCAGGTTCGTAGCGTTTGATTGCTCTCGGTTGTTTCTGATGATGAATCTGGAAATACCTGCCTAAATTCTCCCTTTTGATTCTCTTGGTCACTCCTTTTCCTTCCTCTCTTGGTGTCATACAATCCTCTACTTTTTTCTCGCTGCCATCTTGCGCTTCTTATGAATTTCCATTAAGTGGAAGGATTTGCATCGTCATTCAACTAGTCAATTCATGAATCAGAGGCTTCAATGCTGGAGGATGAGAGCTTTTGTAGATGGGTTTGCTGTTATCATAGGATTGATAGTATTTGAAGGCGGATTTGTAAGGCTGTGCATGGATGGGACATTGTGAAGTGGAATTGGGATTGGTTCACGTGGTACATTGCATAACTGGTGATTTGGTTCTAGCTCTTGATTTTTCTTGTGTTCTTCGATTTCTAGTTCGTTTTGCTACTTCGACTCGTTTGATTTCTTGTCTTCCGGAAACAGGGTAAAGTACTAAAGTCGTCCACGTTGGCTTTTGATTTTCATTATAACGTTGATAGGTATTTAGGTAGTTGAAAATGAGATCTGGGCTATGAGCCCATGACTACGAATGTTTCACATTTGTATGAATAGTGGCTAGATAAATCTTGATACATGGTGTTAGCAAGGGGGACGTTGGATGTCTTCTTTAATGAATAGCAAGGAGAACCCTCTTTTACTGCTGCGAGATCTGAACCTTCTACACCCGTTGCTAGTCCTGCAATGCCTGTGTTTCGCCGTCCAAAGTCCCCTGACTAGGAGGCAGTTGGAAAGCTTCTGATTCTGAACTGCGGTTGAAATGTTTGGATGATCTACACAAAGCTATGGTATGTCCTGAACAAGCTTTTAACTCAATAGTCAATACCAGTAGCTTTAATCTCAGAACCTGTGATTTCCAGCTCCAGAGTGCTTTCCCAAGTAGGTCTTGGCTCCTTATCCTCAATTTTTCAATAGAACCATCCAATTGGTTATGCTTTGAGTTAAGAACTATTAGGTATTATACGACTACTGTTGCCCATAATTTGCCAACAGACTAAGGAAAATTGGAATGACTTGTTCAAGTGTTCCAAAATTCCGACATCCCACTCTGTTGCATAATTGGTTACTATTGCTGTCTTTCCTGTTTGTCTTTCCTTCGGTTTTTAGTAGGGATTTATTTTTTTTGCCCTTATCGGTTATCTGTTTGGATAAAGGTGCAGGATCTCTTAAATGTATAGTTATGCAATGTCGTGTCAACGAGTCTCGAAATTTGATCTTGTTTATATGGCAGTGACAGTGAAACTCATGCGAGGAACTCAAAGTGCCTCATCAAGCAAGTGCTCGCCAAGAGAGGAATTGTATTGCCAGCCCGATCCAAGCAAGTGTTGTGTGACGAGGAGAACGTTAAATGTCTTGTATCGCGATTTAACTGCTGGAGCTTCCTTGCAGATTCATGAGGGTAAGTTAACATAGCTGGGTAGTCTGGCTGCTTGTTTCTTCCTACAGCAAGTTTACAGGGGAAAGGGAGAATGACCAGCTCTCATCCCCACTTCTGACGGCTCCTCAGGCACTCATTCGTTCGTCTGATCTTCTCTCAGCTTTGTTGAACTCCCACTGATCACTGGTATGGTGTCTGCATAAACAAGTGCTTGCTGTCATTGGCAAGGGGAACACTCTCAGTCAACTTTTAGAAAAAAAAAAAAACTATACATCTGTTCATCATTGGCTTTCCAGTGGAGCCGCCCCAAAAAATGGCATGCGTAGAACTGTTGCAAAAGTTTTGCTGCTGCATGACTTGCATTATTCCCATGGGGGATAAAATATGAGTAGCATGTTTTCTGCAAATGGCGAGTGGAGGGGCCAATGGCCACCACGATGTCATGATCAAAGATATGGGTATTATGATCTGATGAACTTTGTCTTTCCCCTTTCCCTGTCAATGTTCTTGAGCAGATCATCTCTTCTTTGGTGCTATGCCTTTTCAGGGCATGTGTCAATTTCTGCTATGACGACAAAAAGATAAGAGGAGAATATGGGTCCCTGGCTTTAACTGCTCCAGCTTTCAATTCATCGATCTGGAAATGAAAGGGGAAGAGGGAGACAGGAATGACTGACTTTCCTGCCGAACTGACACTGAACCTTTGTTGGAAAATAATAGCAAGAGTTGTATAGTAATAATTCTGACAGTGAGACAACACCTGGAGAATACATCAATGATCAAACTACCCAATTTGTCATTCACTTCTTTTTTTCTAGCCCTCTCCACTGCGTTGACTGTACACGATTTTGATGACGTGACAGGTCTACTTGGCATGCTGACTTGACTTATATGAATTAATGACATTTTTATGCGTTATTATTAGTTTAGTGATCAATTCTGTACAGGCATCATAATCTAGTGACCATTTGCGGATTAAACCAGTCATTGAGCGAGACCAACCGTAAGAAAACGTCGTCGTTCCGGAAAATGCCTCCGGCTAATGTGATGAGGCAGACAGTGGTCTTGACGTGCCGCTTCCCTATTGGCTCTCTGTGCCAACTCAGATGATCTAGCTGGCACCGTATGATTTGTCTCGAGCTGCCTGTTTGTTTGATCCGTTATTTATAACAAAAAACAAAACGAAAAAGGGAAGCAAGTAAAACGCAGTCGCTGAGGCCGTTCATCGAAATACGGAGGCGCGTTGGACTGGTTATCCACGCGGCACCATGCGATTCGTTTGGCTCGCCAACTCAAATGGTCCGAGGTGGCACCGTATAATTTCTCTCGCCTACGAATTACGAACTTGCTTCCTCTCTTTCCCTTCTCTCTCCTTCTTCTATCGTTTCTCCGTCCCTCCCATCTCCCCTTCTTCGCTCTATCTCTCTCTTCGTAAGTCTACAATTTGTTCCGCTGCCATCGCCGGGGGCCATTCGAATCGCCGTCAATTGGCCGGATCCGCGCTCTTGTTCGATTGATCAATTGCAGGAACGGGAAGCCTGAAGCTCGATTTCGGGTGGGGTTGACGAGGTAAAAATAAAAAAGCTAGGGTTTCGATTCCACTGCCGAATTGGTTGGGCCCTCGGTTCGTCTCGTGGATTTAGGGTTTAGAAAAGTGGAGTGGAAGCGCTGGGGGTTGTCATAAAGGGCCGTGGTATTGATGGTACTCGAAGGTGAAAATGCAAGGCTATGCATGGACGGGAAGGTGAGGAGAGGAAAAGGGCTCGGCACATGTGGACAGATCCTACCCCTGCCAATTCGGTTGTAGAGGGTGATGTTTCTTCGTCTTCTCCGATTCCTAATTCGTTTTACAAGGTAGCCTTTCTTCCTCCTTCCCTTTTAGGAAGAAAAAAAAAGAAGCTTTATTGTTCTTCCCCCCAAATCGTGTTAATTTTCAGTTGGCGTCGACAATTCTAGAATAGTTATCTGGGCGTTTCCAGGAGTGAGGATTTATGGATCATGAAATAGGGTTTGGAGATTCATGTGATTATTTGGTCACTGCTCGAGTCGGTGATACATAGTAAGCGCTTACAACGTTGAAATGGAATCCAGGTCCCATAAAATTGTCATTGGCGGGGGGTTTCAGCTGGCCATTTTGTGAGATATGTGGGTACGGAATAGGGATGTAGTGTGCTCTTGCCCTGTGGTATTAGGCTATTGAGGGATGCGGGCTCAGTTGTTTTTTAATCATTTCTCCCAGAATCCAGAAGCCCTGCCTTCTTGGTTCTTGGACAGTTGATGGCCTGCACTGAATCAAATTGGAACATGTTTTCTGATCGGTGCAGTTGTATACACAATTAGGGGATGTTTTGTTACAAAAGTTTGACTTTTCATATGAGCAATTTTTATTGTTGGGACACGGAAAGGGATGAATTGTGGTGCTCAGCTGGGACTAATTGGGGAAAGTGATGAGCTACATCTGCTTATACTTGAAGTGCTGGCGTTTAAGAAAATTTATAGAGCATTTCTTTTGTGCCGGTTTTCTTCTGGACTCAATCCCGAAGCAACATGTATTTCTGATAATCTGCAAGATCGATCCTATATTTCATATGCTGTTTCTGATTTCCTCGGCATTCTTCCACTGGTTTCTCATGTCAACTGTTCATAAATTAATCATATGACTGATTTTCTGACAGTTTCTGACAGTTTGTTATCCTTCTTTCCTTCAGGACGGGCGAAAAATCTGTGTTGGGGACTGTGCTCTTTTCAAACCGCCGGAGGAGTCTCCACCTTTCATTGGAATAATCCGTTGTGTGATTACCAGTAAAGATAATAACCCAACTCTAGGTGTGAATTGGCTTTATCGACCTTCTGAAATAAAGCTTGGCAAAAGCATCCTTTTGGACGCTGCGCCAAACGAAATATTTTACTCCTTTCACAAGGATGAAATATCTGCCGCATCGCTACTCCATCCGTGTAAAGTATCCTTCCTTCCTAAAGGGGCTGAGCTTCCATCAGGGATTTCTTCATTTGTGTGCCACCGTGTTTACGACATTCGAAACAAGTGTTTATGGTGGTTAACTGATCAAGATTATATTGATGTGAGTGACAGCTTGCATTTCCTTACAATATCTTGTACCTTCGGTTAGTTATTGCTTTTCCAATTGTTGATGATCTCTTACTTACAGGAACATCAAGAAGAAGTAGATCAACTATTGTCTAAGACACGCATAGAAATGCATGCAACAGTACAGTCCGGTGGGCACTCACCAAAGCCAATGAATGGTCCAAATGCAACATCACAGTCAAAACCTGGTTCAGATGGCGTGCAGAATAGTGGTTCCTCCTTTCCTTCTCAAGTTAAGGGGAAGAAAAGGGAGCGGGGAGAGCGTGGGGATCCAGGGCTAGAGCCTCTTAAACGAGAGCGTTCTACAAAACTTGACGATGGTGATTCTGCTAACTCAAGAGCGGAGAACACCTGGAAATCAGAGATTACTAAATTGAAAGATAAAGGCGGTCTTGTGGATTTTGATGCTGTTGAGAAACTGGTGCAGCTTATGTTACCCGACAGAAATGAGAAGAAGATAGATTTGGTTGGCCGGTCTATTATGGCTGGGATAGTAGCAGCAACAGATAAGTTTGATTGCCTTAATCGGTTTGTTCAACTGAGAGGGTTACCTGTATTTGATGAGTGGATACAGGAGGCCCATAAAGGAAAGATTGGCGATGGTAATAGTCCCAAGGATGGTGACAAATCAGTAGAAGAGTTTCTCTCTGTCTTACTTCGTGCTCTTGAAAAAATCCCTGTGGATCTCCACGCTTTACAAACATGTAACATTGGAAAGTCTGTCAATCAACTACGTTCGCACAAGAACACGGAAATTCAGAAGAAGGCAAAGAGTTTAGTTGACACTTGGAAAAAACGGGTGGAGGCTGAAATGGATGCAAAGTCTGGGTCAAACCAGGGTGTCACTTGGGCTACAAGATCACGCCTTCCGGATGCTTCCCATGGCGGGAGCAGACACGCTGGTGTAGTCTCTGAGGTGGCATTGAAGAGCTCTACTAATCAGCTTTCTGTTTTAAAAGCTGCACCAGCTAAGCTTGTCCCTGGAGAGGCTATTCCTATGTCAGCGTCAGGATCTCCTGGGTCCAATAAATTAACTCCAGTGCCTGTGTCTGGGGTTGGTGTTGTTAAAGAAGGACAGACTAGATATGGCAGCGGTGCTGGTGGGTCTGATGCTTCTCCAACCACGGCTAGAGATGAGAAGAGCAGCAGTTCTAGCCAGTCGCACAATAATAGTCAAACTGTATCTGGTGACCAAACAAAAACTGTTGGATTTTCTGGAAAGGAGGACACGAGGAGCTCTGGTTCGATGACACCTACTAGGGTTGCTAGTGGTTCTTCACGGCATCGTAAGTCGAGCAATGGCTTTCTGACCCAAGCTGGATCTGTTGCTCAGCGGGAAACTGGGACAAGTAGAAGCTCTCCTTTGCAAAGAAATCCAGCTTCTGAGAAGTTCCCACAAAATAGTTTGGCAAGTGATAAGGTGGCTGATCTCCCAACACCCGATGCCACCAACCACAGATTTGTCGTTAAGATTCCTAACAGAGGCCGCAGTCCTGCCCAAAGTGCCAGTGGTGGATCGTTCGAAGATCCTTCAGCCGTGCACAACAGATCTTGCTCTCCTATTCTTTCGGAGAAGCAGGATCAGCTCGATCACAATTTGAAAGATAAGAACGATGCTTGCAATGCTAATGTCGGCTCAGATGTCAATACCGAGTCATGGCAGAGCAATGATTTCAAAGACGTGCTGACTGGGTCAGATGAAGCAGGTGGCTCTCCTACAACTGGTCCGGATGATGAAAACAGTAGAGCAGGCGAAGATACCAAGAAACTACCAGAAGTCTCCAAATCCACATCATTGCCGGCTAGCAACGAAAACAAGTCGGGAAAATTACATGATGCTTCATTTAGCTCCATGAATGCTTTGATTGAAAGTTGTGTCAAGTACTCTGATGCGAGTACATCTATGTCAGGAGCAGATGATGTTGGGATGAACCTGCTTGCTAGTGTTGCTGCTGGAGAAATGTCTAAACCTGATGTGGCTTTGCAGTGTGATCCACTTGGTGATTCAAGGGTACAGTCACATCCAGGTGATACTGTGATTCACGGTGTTCAGTCACGTGATAATGTTGGTGTTGTAACTGAGAAGAAAGACAGTGCTGTTAATACGTTAGAGACTAAGACAGATGGTCCTTCTCAAGAGAAAGATTCAACTTCCTGTGCTGTAGAGGCCCAGCAAACTGGAGAGACATGCAAGGAAAAGGAAGATAAAACTAATGCAACCTTAAGGGGACCTTTTAATGATGTGCCTGCTGTGAACGGCGCAGACAAGAAATTGGGTGGAGGCAAAAATCCATGGAAAAAAGATCCCAGTTGTACAGTAAAAGCTGAAGCAACGTCTGATGATAAAGAAAAATCACTTGCCTCCTTTTCAGCCGAGACTAAGCTCAATGTTGCTGCTGTAGAAGTCAAGGCTGGTGGAGTCCGAAGTTTGTCCCCACATACTGCCTTTGATCCTGAGGGGGAGAACAAGAAAAATAGTAATGAGGTATTGAACTTTGGTGTACAAACAGATCAGAAACCACCTGCAGTAATGCGTTCTGATTCTGTTAAGAGAACTGACATTCAGGTGCTTAATCCTTCTGGTCAGGAAATGGTTTCCACCAAATGTCAGGAGGAAGTGAAAAAAGAAGAGGTTAATGAAACTACAGGTCGGAATCCCTCCCCTGACAACCCAAAAACTGATCAGCTTAGTAAGAAGGATGAGGATCAGGTGAAAACCGAAATTGATGTGCCAAATGAGCAGGAAAGTGGTTCTCAGGATGAATCTGGTTTACAATCAGATCGGAGAATGGGGTGTAGAGGATCTAGGGAGAAAGGTACTGAAGCTGATGACACTGAGGAAAGTTGTTCAGCTGCAGCAGATGCTTCTTTAGCTGTTACTGGCAGCCAAGATAATGAAACAAAAATGGTATTTGATCTGAACGAGATGCTTAATGGCGACGATGGGAAGTACATTGAGCCATCCAATGTAAAAGTCGCAAGTGCTTCTTCTGCTTCTATTCCATTGATTAGTCCGTTGCCTTTACAAGCTTCTCTCTCTAGTAGTCTCCCTGCTTCAATTACCGTCGCCTCGGCTGCTAAAGGTCCTTTTGTTCCACCAGAGGATTTACTGAAGAGTAGAGGGGAACTTGGTTGGAGAGGATCAGCCGCAACAAGTGCATTTCGACCAGCTGAACCTAGAAAAACTGTTGATCCTAATGTAACTGGGACAACACCCAATGGTCCTTCTCCTGATGCTTCTTCTGCCAAACCTGGCCGTCCTCTCTTTGATTTTGACCTAAATGTGGCTGATGAAAGGGTACTTGAAGATTTTGCTTCTCGAGTTTCTGATCAGGCTATGAGCTCTGTCACTGGCCTTGCAAATAATCATCATGTTGTGGCATGTGATGAACCGGTGGTGGCTTCTGTATCTGTTCGAAGTTCTGCGGGACTTGATCTTGATTTGAATAAAATGGACGATGATGGTGATGTTGGCAATAATCACTTGACTAGCAACGGTCGTAGGCTGGACATTCATTTCCAGCCAACAGTCAAAACATCAGCAGCAGCAGGTCTTATCAGTGCTGCTGATGCAGGTACCCGTCGAGACTTTGACTTGAATAATGGACCTCTTGCCGAGGAAGTGGGAACTGTTGAGCCATCAACTTCATTTGTCCAGCAAATAAGGAATAATAGCATTGTGTCTCAGTCAGCAATTCCCGCCTCTCGAGTTAACTCTAAGGAACTGGGAAATTTTGCCTCTTGGTTTCCTCCTCAAGGGAATTATCCAGGTGTAGCAACAATTCAGCCCATGCTGCCTGATAGAGCAGGGGAACAACAGCCATTCTCAATAGTTGCACCTCAAAGGATGGTAGCTGCTCCTGCTGTCACTGTCAGCAATACATTTAGCCCTCCAGATGTCTATAGAGGACCAGTGTTGTCATCTTCTCCTGCTGTGCCCTTCCCGTCTGCTCCATTCCAGTACTCAGTCTTCCCATTTGGAAACAACTTCCCTCTAACTTCAGCTGCATTTTCGGGTGGTTCTACAGCATATGTCGACTCAGCATCAGGTGGAAGACTTTGTTTTCCTGCTGTGCCTTCACAGGTGTTGGCGCCTGGTGGTGGTGGGGTTCTCCCATCGCCCTATCATCCAAGGCCTTATGTTGTCAGCATTCCAGATGCGAGTAGTAGTATGTCCAGTGAAAGCAGCAGTAGAAAGTGGGGAGGAAGGCAGGGCCTAGACTTAAATGCAGGGCCTTTGGGTGGTCCTGATACTGCAGAAGGGAGAGATGAAACAACATCATCATCACTTGCTGCCTCAAGGCAGCATCAGCTGTCTCTGGCCAACTCTCATCAAGCACTCATTGAGGAGCAGCAATCTAGAATTTACCACCAGGTATCAGGTGGCGGCGTTCTGAAAAGGAAGGAACCAGATGGTGGATGGGATGGCTACAAGCATCATCCACCATGGCAATAGTGAGAGCAGGGTTGCTAGAGAAGTCAGTGAGGTGCTGTGAAATATTTGCTTTATCTTCAGGCTGAAAGTTGAGTTTGTTGTCTGGTATTAGCTGCTGAATCTTGTTGCTTTGTTGTTTCCTCTTTTTTTAGTTGCAGTTCCCTGTTATCTGGGCCAGCCGGGTTCGAGAGATCACATTTTAAACTTTGAATCTCGAAGAAGGAAGATGGTGAGTCATGTGGTGTTGCAGTCTCCAACTCCAATACTCCTGCTCCTGTGGTATCTGTTTGTCATAAAGGAATATGTCTTCCTGAGGTTTTTGGGGGTCAATGTGGGCTGTTAGTTTGGAATTTGTGCTGGGCAGCTGCGTTTCCTCCACTTGTAGATATTTTTTTTTAAACTTCAGTCTGTGCATGCTGCCGCCCGGGCATTCCAACACTATTGTGGGTCCATGCAGGTTGAATCAAGAAAATTTATTGATACAGTTGGGAACCCATGAGAACAATCCTTACCATTCTGAGAAGAACAGGGGATGATGAATTGGTGGAACTGGTTTTAGGCAGGGAGAGGACTTCTTGTATTTTGGTTTTTCTGAAGCTAAATTATCTCTCTTTGCTCTTGTTGTTTTCTTTTATTTGCCCGTTGAGGATCACATATGAATAAGCAGAATGGTACGAGAATTGGTAGTGGAAATTCCTGCCGCGATCTTGTTGTACTTTAAAACTGTTCTTGTGCTGCTGGACCTGGGGCTGTGACTGACTGTGACTGACCATCATTTTGCCTTTCGATTTCCCCATGAGAAAGATAGTTACTGCAGATGCTGCTCACAGAAAGTAATGTATACCCAGTTGACAATTCCCTATGAGATGCTGTTCTCGTCTGTATGGTTTAATTGAGTTAGTGGTCTGAATCTGTTACTTACAATGCTCTTCAGCTTCTTCTACTCTTCGATTGAAAGTGATGGACAATTCTTGTGTTAGCGGTGTAACTTGTGAATGATGATTCGACAGTGAATACGTAACTGAGTTATGATTACGTTCAAGTGGTGTGATGGCGCACGATAAGAATAAAACCATACATAGTTCTACATACAAGGGCTGGTATGATTATACAGATTTGAAAGCAGAAGGATGAAGGATTAGTGTAGATCTAGGATCTCTGATATGTGCCATCTTACAAACCATCTGAAGCAAATGGAAAGAAAGAGCACAAGCAGAAGGAAAAGAGACTCCATCCGTCGAAAGCTGGGAGGGATGCATTGCCAAAATGGTGAAAAGGGAAATCTTTGGAAGCTATCTATACGTGAGTTTGTTGTCGTCGTTGTGGCCGTGGTCAGAAAAGCTAAGTTCAAACCTCAAAGGCTGCGGGCAGAGACTTCATTTCAGGCAAACCAATTTCCTCCCACAAAGAACGTTCCTGCATAAGCAAAAGCTCCAATAGTCAATAAACTGACTCCACCTATGCTGCAAAAAACCTTTCTGAGTACAAGTAGAGAGAAACAATTTACTAACAAGAGGCAACCCCGACGCTGCTTCTTCTTCTTCTTCTTTGCATCTTTCAGTTTTGTTGCTGGCTTGATCACTACTTTGATGGCAGCATCAAACACCGCCTTGACGTTCTGGCACCGAAATAAGATTAAGAAATTAGGTACCGCAACACCTAATGTTAAGAAGATGTGGCTCTTATTCCTGGGAAGATCAATGAAATTATTACCTGCTGAGTTTTGGAGCTGCACTCAATGTAGTATGCTGCACCCACCAGCTTCCGGAGCTCCTCTCCCTGTTTATGGATGGGAAAGGAAGAGAGTGTTATTGGCTAAGAACACTTTGGTCAACCAATGACAAAGAAAGTCAATCAGTCAATAGCAAGTGTCAAGATGCTGCACACCTGTTCAGTGGTAACGGGAACCAGCCCAGGGTGATCAGCCATATAGTGCTTATCGTTGCGAAGATCTACACATCAAAAACTAATCAGACATCTCTAGTATTACTAGGCCAAGAGTTGCAATTCGTTCCATCTCAGTTTCCTTCTATGATGGAAGTACTCATCGCAGCAATATCGCTTTGATGCACAGACAGGGAGATAAATGACTCTATAAAGGTTACATGATTTACTATACGTCATCATCATTTACAAACTTCAGACATGGCCAAACCCTTCAAAGAGAGTTTGTCTTGAGACAGCTGAGAATGAATCATGTGGGAGATGGATCACCTCAAATAGACCTAAGCAATCTGAGAAGGGCGTGTTTGCAGGACAAATTCCACAGTCCCTTAGATTGGGAAGGACATAGGCTCGGCACAAATCACTGTTATCCAAGGCTATAACAGGGGGATGTATCCTGTCCCATTTTTCAAGCATAAATGCATACTATGCTACACTGTACAGCAGTCTGAAAATGATTCCACTTCATTTGAGCCGGAGCTCAAGAGCAGCCAATATCAGGCAATGATGAAACCTAGGGGGTAATAAGGGCCACCCTTAATCTGCAAAGAACCAGCCTGCATGACCAGCCAGTGCCACACACATTCACCTTGGCTATCAACATTAAGCGTTTCCTAACTCAATGTCTAGTGGACTTAAGTTGTTCAAATTTCCAATCTATGAGACTGGATTGCGAGGTTAGAGCCAACAAAACCAAGAATTCGGTATTTAAGCTGTCACTATGCCAATCTCAAGGTCGAGCCAATAAAGTTCAGGATCCGGTAAATGAACCAAAAGGTAATGCTGACTGTCTCAGCAATCAATTGCAGCCATAAAGTCTAGAACTAATCTTCCTACCCTTCTGCTAAATTTGGGAACAGAAAACTGTGTATGTCTTAATGGCAGCAATCATAACATCTTACTCGAAGGGACTCTAACAGGAAGGATTAAATTTGCAGTAGATGGATGAAAATGCACTTACCTAATTTGGTACCAACCAGCACTAGTGGGATCCCAGGGGCATAATGCTGGAGCTCAGGAATCCACTAGAAAACACAACCACCACATTAGTCAGCAGGTTGTTAAGCAACAAAAAGGCCATAGATCCATGATGAGAACTACCAAAGATCACACCTTCTTAAGTACATTCTCGTAACTGGCCCGGCTAACTAGCGAGAAAGCTAAGACAAAGACATCTGCACCTCTATAGCTCAATGGCCTTAGCCTGTTGTAATCTTCCTGGCCTGTTTTTGGAGGGAATTCAAGAAAAAGGTTAAGTAAGAAAAGAATCTTGAAAAGGGTTTCGTAATCTGAGAAAGAACACAGAAAGTAAAGGAGGTAGAACAAATCTAACACTACCAGCTGTATCCCAGAGGCCCAAGTTGACAGTGGTTCCTTCTACTACAACATTAGCGCTGAAATTGTCGAACACTGTGGGTATGTAATCCTGCCCAACAAGTAAAGCAAAAAACGTAAGCTTTTTAGCTGGAAATCTCATTTGGGAAGCAAGAAAGACGGCAAATTTGTCTGCAGGGGAAACGGGAAAGAGAAAGAACAGCAATAACAAGATAAAAAAAGGGCCAAAAGGGTAAAAGAGATTCAACAGTTTAAGACTCGAGGAAACCAAGTGAAGTTTCAAGTCCAAAGCCATAGGAATCAGCGTTTGTGGAGAAATCATACGGTAGGGAACTTGTTGCTGGTGTAGCAGATGAGCATACAGGTCTTGCCCACAGCACCATCTCCAACTGTCACGCATTTGATGAACCTCGAAGCACTCGCCGCCATTTGTGATGATACCCACAGAAGAAGAAAAGGGAAGAACAACAATCTGAAATTGCAGCAAAAAGGGAAAGCCTCACTCTCTTTTGCAGAGAGGAAGAACAATTAGAAAGTGGCTGTTTTGTGTTGCTGGGCAACGAATTTACTACAACCAACCAACCAACCAACCAGTTAGCTCTCTCTCTCTCTCTCTCTCTCTCTCTCTCTCTCGCTTCCTCCTTTGGTCTTCAACTCACATGATTCTCACTCATACAGTAATCACTGATCAGTAGGTAAGAGCCACTATTGCAGCCTGCTGCTGCTTTTGGGGGTTTGCAGGCTTTTCCTGAACCCAGATTGAGAGAAATTTCCCAGAAAGGATTTTCCTTTCCTTGTGGGTTTGGGATTTTCGAGGAAAATATGGAGTAATGAATTAGACAGGCTTTTTGGACTGCAGTGGAGAGGAGGTTTTAGCTTTAGGAGCAGCAAGCAGGCAGCCACAGCAAAAGCCAGCACAGCAACTGCAAGCAAAGCTTTTCCCACAAGAACGCCAACAAGGCTTTTTTTTCATGTAAAAAAAAAGGCTTTTTTTTCTCTGCTCTCCCTAATCCCAAATTAAATCTTTTTGTTTTTGTCGACGAGGGAGCCTTACAACTTGGGCTGATTATATTATTTAATGAAAACTAATTATAATATATTTAACAAAGACATGATGATATATATTATGTATCACACTCTACAATTAATTAGGGTTGCTGTCTCAATTAAACTTATACTAAATGTTGAATAATATTTTTTCTTCTTCTTCATTAGATTGCTTTGGTGAGACTGAGATTATATAGAAACCCTTAGAAACAATGTAACCAACTAACTAATCATTCTTGTTTTACGGAATGAGAGGACAATGATCACCTTAATATAGATTAGATGCTATAACTTAGTTGATAAGTCACTTCATGATTTATTGCAAGTCTCATTAAAGATCAAGCGTATAAGCATAAGCAAACTCGAATTAGGAAGCAATAAGAAACAACAAAAGTCTAACTATTGTTAATTAAAGCATCTTCTTTTTTTATTTTCCGAACTCACCGATCTTGACTAGAAATAATGTGACAAGGTAACACATTAGGCAAATCTCATAACAAAGCACGAGAGAGATTCATGATTCATAAGTAAGAAATCGACCTTAACTGATAACACGCGTTTTGGGGTGAAATGAATGAGTTCTCGTGAGAACTCCAAAATTAAACATTCCCAAAATTAAACATTCTCAGCGTGAAGCACTGCAAGAATGAGTGATCTTATGAAAAGTCACATTGAATTGAACCACAAGTCAAATATCGTGAGGATCGAGGCACAAAACATATAATATCTTCGTCAAGAAAATGTTCGATATGTTATATACAATCTCGTGTGAATTGTTAAGGCATTTTTTTAAACTTAATGTTTTGATTCATTGCTCTTGTTGTGTGAATGGCAAGCTGCCAATTGGGCAAACAGTATGCCTTCTGCTTAAATTCGTTGCTGTATGTAATTGCCAAGGGGGCATCAACATCGGAGTCCATAATATTGAATGTTTACATAAAAAAAAATGTTGACACCTTGGAAAGAAATTGAAAAAGAAATGTGAAGAGGCAAAGCTAATTTCAAAGCAAGAAAAAAGGATATGGTGAGTAATAGAGGGGATGTAATAATTGAAGAAAAAATCCAAAAAGGGGTTACGGTTGGTTGAAGAGCATAAGTAAAGATGAAGCAAGATAGGCAAAATTATACGTTTGGTCACTCAGATTATATAAATCTTTCACGTTTATCATTCAAATCATTCAAATTTTTTTTTTTCTTATTCATTGCTAACTTTACGAATCATTTCACCGTTAGTCACCTTTTCACGTTTACCATTCAAATTAAATTTTTTTTTTATTCATTACTAATCACCAATCGTCAAACTCTATTAGATTTATGATGACATGACAAACGAAACCGCTGAGTGTACCGTTAGGTTTCAGATTCTACAAATGGATACTCTGGGTCTCCAAAACCCACTTCTCCAAATCCTAATTCTGGGCTTGAAGAATGGACCTATAATGGAAAATTACAGAACGTAGTGGGCCTGACCCACTTCTCAAATTAATAAATCATTCTGGGCTTAAAGAATGACACAGGCCCGCTGCGAAGCGCGGCTCCAGGTCAAAATATAGCTTCATTTACAGGTCCTTGACCAGGTCAAAAAATACAAGAGTCATTGACTTTTCCAAAGAATAACAAAAGGAAGAAACCAGATAGAGAGAATATGAATGAATGGAGGAAAGCCAAAAGAAAAACAAAACAGAAAAAAAAAAAATTCCAAAGTCAAAGGACGGTGCCTTCGTAAACGGTGGCCAATCGGAGCCGGAAAGAACGGACGGCCAGCTTCGCCCGCCGGGAAGCATACCTCTGGAGCTTCCTAATAGATCCAGACCTCGGTAGCGGCTTGGCCCGCGACGACGAATTGTTATCACCAACCGTAAGATTACTACTGCCGGGGCCGGCGAATTCATCATCGTGGCCGTCGAGGAGGAAGAACAGAGGAGCGATGCTGGACTTCTTCCGGCCGCCGGCCGCGGATCGGAGGAGGGCCTGGCTAGCCGTGACGGCCAAAGCGGCCATATCCGCAGCGGTGAGCCTGGAGCCGAGCTTCGAAGCCGGGAGCAGGAAGTAGAGCTGATTGGGGAGCAACAGCGCGTCGGAGCGCAAGGCCGGGATGGGTTCGTCGTAGGACAGGAAATCGGAGTTGCAGACGAAGGAATCGGACTCCACAACTTGGGAGACGGAGACCGGAGTCGGGTACTCGCGGAGATCCCCTTTGAGGGAGACGACTTTGGCCGTCGGCGGGGGAGAGGCAGAGGAGGATGAGAAACACGCTCCCATTTGACAGCGCGCGGCCGGATTCGATCGATTCGGAAATTGGGTTGAATGAATTTTGGGTAGAATCAATGAACAAATAAGGACAGAGATTTGAGTGGGAGGAGGAGAGGAGACTGGTGACTTGAGGAGCGGGCAGCGGAATAATCTTGTGCTATAAATAAAACAGAGGAGAGGGTTAGCGGGAAAATTGAGTGGCTGGCGGCGGCGGCTGGTCTTTACCCATTGGTTTCGCGGATGCCTCCCTGATCAAATCAAAACCACCTTTGCTACCTCAGCAATGACGTGTGGTTACGCGGATCCTGTAGCCTACAAAGAAAGTGAGCACAATCATATGCTGTTGGCTTGTTGCTAACCAAAGAAAGAAAACACTGTTGAAATGAAATAAATAGCAGCTGCTATGCAATTGCTGTCGTGTTTGTGATGTTCAAGTTGGGCTTCAACTAGAGTTGGGCTGGGCTTCGGTTATTGTGTCATTCGTATTGTTTATTCTTCAAGCTAAGAAGAACACAAACTGCTAATCCTCACTTGCAAGTAACAAAGGAAGCTGTGGAAAGCAAAAGGTTGGAGAAAGACTATGAAGTTGGAGCTGTTGCTTGCAGCAAAGAATCACACTTGGAAGCTAAAACACCAGTCATCTAAAGTGAAGCAAAATGGGAGTACAAGAAAAAGCTCATTAAGAAAGTTGTAAAGAGGAGTTTGCTAGCCTTGGGCACTCGGCATGCCTGGCCGATGTGTCAATCAGATATCAAGAATGCTTGTTTTGATTTGGGGGCCTAGTGACAATGGAGACCAGCATGATGCTCGGGATAATACGGAAGAAAATGAGGTGAGAAACCTGAGAAAACCAGTAGAGCTTGCTCAGTACTACCTAGATGGGGCTGACGAGGGTTAGTTTTATGAACATCACTGGCTTCCGTGAGTTTCCTTTGGGCGATTTGCCGATGCTGCAGGTCTTGAGGTACTACTCCAGCTTGGAAGTTTCTTCAGAATATATCAGGTATGGACTATGGAGTCTATGCTGTAGAGGAATACTTGAGAACTAAAGTTAAGACGAGAAAGACCAACATTGAAAAGATATCGAGAGTTTACTGTGTCAGCATTGACCCTCGAAGAGTGTACCTTAGTAGTCCTACCGATATAGAGTTCAAACCCTCAAAGCAGGTTGTGGTTGAGTTTCGTGAACTTGGCAAGGTGATATACCTTATGAGAGCAGAAATACCTCAGGTTGGACAAGGTTTGATTATGGGTCCTAGAAGAAATGTGATTGAGCAAGAAGAGGAGATTGAAATTGATGGCAACCCTCAAATTTCTGCAGAGGCAGTGGATTTGCAACCGCAAGAGTTGGTGGTTGCAGGGGAGGAAAAAAAGCATGTGAAGAAGGTCTTTGAGTGGCTTCAAGTGATGGATTTGATAAGTATGAGATATTGGGTAAACTTGTGTGCAGATGATCATAGCTTGGTTATCACAAGGCAAGGGGCAGATGTATTACTTGTGACTCTATGTAAGAATGGGGTGATGTTTCTGAACACTAATGTTGTCTTTGAGATGATAGAGTTGGTGAGAGGAAGGTGCATGCATGAAGGAACCTTTCTGGGCTTCCGAGAGAGGCATAAGATATCTGATGGAGATTCCAAGCTATGGAATTTGTTCTGGAAGGAAGACAGAGGTGAAGCATGTTAATGAGATTCCAAGCTATGGAATTTGTTCTAGAAGGAAGACAGAGGTGAAGCATGTTAATGAGATTCAACATGGAGATTCATGCCTTTCAGCTTTCCAAGTGGAACACAAGTATGAAGCACAATTGAGGAGTGAACTGGAAACCAAGAAAATGAAGGTTGTAATGAAGGATCGAAGTGATGCTTCTAAAAGTAGGAAGAGTTTTACCACTAGGGGAGCAGCTAGTGCATCAAAGTTTTATGTATCATCGCCAAAATCAGGCAAGATGAGTTTCCAGTCTGTTTCATCAGATATTTTTGCAGAACATTCTAGTGAGAGCTGGGATGGCAAAGGGACATGCCTCAGTGGTAGTCCAGTGGTGGGAAATAAGATGTCTGGAGTTATACATATCGGGTGTAAAAATGTGGTTGTCAAGCTTCAAAGGAAAGCTGAGTAAGGAGGCAAGAAAATTGTTCATCTCCTAACTGATCTATGGAAGAGGATTGAAGCAGGCTGCATGAGTAATGCTGGAAATAATGTTATGGATTTAAGGCAGAACAAGCAGCGTGTCGATAAGTTCGACTACAATGGAGTTTGGAGCTTGTGTTTGATGTTCAATTCATGAAGTAAGATTGAAGTCTGCTGCTGCAATTTGCTCAAGCTGCTGCTACCACTAAAGTTAGCTGCTGAAGGACTTGAGGAGTTGGGATATAGAACTTGGATTGAAGGATAAACTGAAATGTTAACACGTTTTCAGTTTAGGGGAGGAAATGTTGAAATAAATAGCAGCTGCTATTGCTTGTTGCTGTCGTGATTGTGGTGTTCAAGTTGGGCTGGGTTTTGGTTATTGTGTCATTCGTATTGTTTATGTTTCTAGACAGGTTGTGTCAAGAGAGTTTGCTTAATCAGCTCTGTATATAAGAGGGTTCTGTTACTGGGTTGCTGAGTTTTAGGTATGTGAGGATGAGGGCCAAGATAAGCGAGAGATTGATGAAGAAAGCTGTATATATATTTTCTGTTTTCCATTCAATAAAGTTTTTGTCAGTTTGCAGCTATTTGGTTTCTTCAAAAACTTCATCTCTACTGGTAGTTACTGCACAAACAGTCAGTGCACCTTTCTCTGTTAGACGCAGATAATAAATTGGTGGACAAGTTCATTAGGTACAAGTTAATGTTCCCTCCTTCAATATGTCGATCCAAGTTCGAACAAGAACACATCAGCCACAGGTGATAAAATTTAATATCTGTAAGACCTGAGAGGTACATGATCCTATTGTTAGTTAAAGCATTTTCTATACATCCACATAGTTGTCTAGCAGACCTGCACTCACTGAAGAAGATGACTCCCCTGCTGCGAACGACGATGCTACACGATACTCACCTATGTGTTCCCTTGATGGCTTGTCTTCTCCTGATTGTGCCCATATCACCCCGTAGAAACCTGCTACAATCACCATTGCTCCAACAACGCTGCAAAAAAAAAAAAAAAAAGCCCCCGCCCCGGACAGCAAAGTCATGTTAGTATGTTAACATGGAAGGATGCTGCTGATTGCTTCATTTTCAATGGTAAGTTTAAATTAGCAATTCTTGTACCTCCCTATGTGGAGGGTGTCGCCGAGGAAGAGGACCCCCAAGAAGGAGGCAATGGCGATGGATAAGGGCTTGAACATTGCCACAAACACTGGTCCTTTGATCTGGATGCACCATGACATCACAGAATACGAAGCAACATTCCCAAATACAGCCTGCAATGAAGCAAACCAACACAGAAGAGTTCTTTTCCTTCAATTCAACTGTTGATGTTATTGTCTTGAGAAGTCTTCTCGTTTGTATAATTAAAATTTAGCTTACAGAGTAGATGACAGAGAGGAGTTTGATGTCAGCCTGCAGCTTCCAGGCATTCGGGTCCTTCTCGGCGATCAAAGACACAAGTGCAGATTGAATGGTCCCAAAGAGGCAACAGTAGGCCACGATGGTTATGTTGGAATGGAACTCATTGAGTACTGATGCCTGAATAAAGCTTGGAACTTTAGAAGTAATTTAAGTCTATGAATGCATTGCATTGAGCCATCAATGGTTTACACATTGTACCTGGAAGATGTTGAATATTGACATGGAGAGACAAGCCATTGCAATGAAAAGGCCTCCAATGACCCAAGAATCGGCTGTTATGGTGGGAAGGTCTGGGTTTGGGAGTGACTGAACTACATTTGAGGCCCAAATTGGAGGTCCTTTGTAGAAGATGACAATAAGTGCTCCAGAAATACATACAATTGTGGCCAGGATTTTGACTTGGCCCCTTAAGCTTCCCAAATTCAGCTTCTCCATCCTAGGAAAAACAATCAAGAGGGTTTGTAACAAAATCTATAATTTGAGAATTGAAATGCATCTGATATAGAGACAACGGGAAGGAGAAGAAGGAGGAACCTGAAGAGAACAGCGAGTAAGAAAGTGAAAGCTGGGATCAATTGGCTGAGAGCAGAGGCAAGCGTTGGAGAGCTGTAGCTAACTCCGGTAAACACACAATTCTGCATCACTGTCATCCTACGCCAACCAAAAACCCTCAACACTACTACCACCACCATAATAACCAAAATGAGCGAAAGAGAGGCTCTCTAGTTTCATTCATTCCTACCCAAAAAGACCCAGAAGGAAGAATTTCCAAATGAGAGGGTAAGTTATGATGGGTGCTGCGGTTTTCCTGCGAAGAAAGACGAAAAGACCCAATTGACGAGTTTCTTGAAGTGAAAACAAGAAAGGAGCGGGGGGAAAGTGAGGTAGCTGAACCTGTTACAGTTGAGGAAAAGGGAAGAAGGAAACATGATGAGAGTGGCGAGGGCGTTGGAGTAGACCACAAACACGAAATGGCTCATCCCTTCGGACATGGCGGCTTTGCTGAGTGTGGTCATACCCACGTCGAGACATTCCACCGTCACCATGGCTGCAAATGGCAGCAACTCCTCTAAACTTCTCCACTGCATTCCCATTTCACCCTTCTCTCTGTCTCTCGGTTACCTGGACTGCTGGAGGGCGTCGGAGACATATCCGAGGAGTTATTGGCTACTCAGCGTCAATTATTGAGGATGATCTTTGGTGGGTAGTTGGTAATTACCAGCAACAGCAGATTGTGGTGATATTTCGGGATACGGATGTGGGGTTTTGCCGTTTTGCTCACCGTTCACTGTACCCTCTACTTGCTTTGTTTGCCGCCTCCACCGCTACACTTTCAGATGAACACGTTAACAGAAGTTAGATTCTCGTTTCTAAATGATACAATTGTGCTTAGTTGACGATAACGGTGCTTAGTAAAATAAAAAAAAGGGTTTGTATATAAAACTTGGTGGTAGTTGCCGCGCCACGTATCACTTTTCTTCTACTTCTCTTTTCCTCTTCGTTTTGCGCTCACCGTCACCGAGCTCTGTCACTCCTTTTGGAACCCAGCGTAAAGGGGGCGAAAATAACGTCGAAAGATCGGAACTTGGCTGGAAAAATGGGCGCCGTAGAGCCCAGCTTGGATGAGCTCTTGGAGGAGAGGAAACGCATGAGGAATCCTCTCGTCCCCATTGGTGAGTTCGATCCCTTCCCCTTTCTTCTTTTACATTCCGATTCCGGGTTTGCCCCAAAAATTGTTATACTTCCTTTCAGCTCCAGTTTTTGGGATTGGCTGATTCCTATTTGATGTCGAACATTTGGGATGAGTTAGTTTCTACTCTCCGCCTGCCGGTCATGTTAGGGTTTCCTCTCCCGGTGAGCCGTGACCTGTTTTAGCTTTTAGGAAACAGAACGGGGAACTTTGGCCGCTTTGATAGGCTTCTCTTAAACTAGCGGGTATGGCGGTGAATGTGCTTTATGGGTTGGAAATTAATCCTCACTCGGCGCTTTTATATCTTTGTTTCTCACCAGATTGCTGATTCACTAATCCTTCTTTCGTTGTTGGTGAAGTTGAGAAATTGGTGCTTATGCTATGTGATCTATATAAAGTAGGGAACTTTGTGGTAATTTTGTACTAGATTGAGAACTTCATTTGGTTAGCATCATCAGGTAGACAACGATATGGAAGATGATTAAGTTGTATGTCTCTGTGTGGATGGGGTTGGTGCAGGAGTTGAGTTTTTCTCTCTTTCTGAGAAGGATATAACAGTAGTTGCTGCCAGTCATATTATTCTGTCGAAGGATGATATTTGGTATAGAGAGTATCTTCTTGATTGTGAACCTAGTTCCTGGATTGATGTTGTACTGATACTAGAGCTCCAGGATGAGGCTAGGGGTATATATTTAAGTTGTATGTGTCTGTGTGGTTGCAGTTTGGTGCAGACATTGGTTATTGTTCCAAAGAAGGGTATATCAGTAGTTGCCAATCACATTATTCTGATGGAGTATGATAGTTTGGTTTAGGGAGTTTCTTCTTGATTACCAACCTCTCGTTCCTGGATGATATTGTACTGATACAAGAGCTTCAGAATGAGGCTAAAGGTATATGCTTGGTATATGAGATTTCGGGGTTTGGGAGTAATGCTTTGATGGATCAAGAAGTTTCAGGCTGAGAGTATGCATACAACTGTAACTTGTGTAGTTTCAAGGTGGTTTGAAATCTGTCTTGCCAACTCTGAGAGTAGATAACAATTGATCGGACAGTTTAGCTGGGGAATCTGCATATTTTCTGCTTTAGCTGCATCATGAGTGTGCTTAACTAAACCAGTTGGGGAACCCCTACTTTCGTTTTAGGGAGTGCAACAATCTTGAGATGTGAGAAATGTCGTTGTCAAGCAGTAGAGTTATAGTGCAGTTCTCCATGGTAATGTTTCAGTTCGTTCATTCCGTTGATCCTCCTAATCCTGGGACTTGGGAACCACTGAGACAACAATTACTGAAACATGACTTTCCTATCATTTCAACGGCTGGAGCTGCATAAGAACAGTGATAGAAGCTAGTTTATGTTACTCAGAGAGGAGAATTTTGCTACGCCAACATTATTTCTCTACTTTTCAGCTTCTGTTCTTAACTTGTCAGTGGAGAGGTACTCAAGGATGTTGGTAGTAACAGGTTCTGGTGGTCTTGCATCCTGCAAACTTCAATTCAGTTGTTTGTATGGGTTTCTTTCCAGTTAAGCTATTCTTTATGTTTTTTTTTTAGATAAGCTATTCTGTATTATTGCTCGGCCATGGCTGATTATCTGGGCTAACTGGCATACAAGGTGGCATTCCGCGAAGGGAAATTAGGCTGATAGATGAGACTTGTGTGCTACTTCAAATACTTGTCACTACATTGCAACATTACATCTCGTCATTCGAGAAACTGGACCGCTAGACTTGGTGGGTTTGATTGATGTCCAACTGATGTTTGTGGGAACACTATATTTGCAGGTGCATTCATGACAGCGGGAGTGCTAACAGCGGGGCTAGTAAGTTTCAGAAGAGGGAATTCACAGCTGGGACAGAAGTTGATGAGAGCTCGCGTGGTTGTTCAAGGAGCAACTGTTGCTCTAATGGTTGGGACTGCCGTATACTATGGACAGCACCCCTGGAACAAGAAGCCTGACCCATCTGTATAGAAGATCATCAACAGAAGTTACACAAGCAGCCTACCGGAAAATAAGACAGAATGAATTACTTGCGCTGCCGCTCCCTTACCAATTTGTAGCTTTCCTATGAATTTCTGGTATCAAATGTTTCCTTAAATGGTTGACAGTTTGGGCAGTTGTAACTAATATGTAGGCTGTAGCTACTGTATTTATTTTCTTTACTTCAGATAACATTTTGCGTTGAGGCTGAAATAAGGGGATTTCAGAAGTTTTTTCTGTGAAAGTAATACTCTTTTTCTTGTTAGTTTCAATTTTTTAAAATGAACAGGGAAAATGTCTCCACAGTCTATCCTAATGCACTTGGCAGCAGATTTAGGTGCTTGGGTTTTTATCTGGTTGTGTGAGGGTGTTTGTAATTCTATTAAAGGCTCCACTTTTATCTTTGTTTAAGGAGGGTTTTCTCTCCATGTGGAGGGTTCTGTCTCTTGATGCTTCTTTCTTTCTGGATCTCGCACCTGACCTCCTGCATTGTTTGAATGACGACTTTCATGCATTTTGAACTTCTTAAGATGGTGGAATGTATGTAATATTGGACTATAAGCCCTCTTCCTTGCAGATTATGGTATTTGAATGCCTGAGTTTGCGGCGGAATTATTTCTTGGTGTTTGAGCAATGCCTTCACTTTTGGCGACCTTGTGTCTTAGACATTGTAGTATTGTACTGGCTGTTGCAGCGCTTGATAAGCTGGCTTCTTAAAGTTGGTTCTGTTATTCGGTCATCTAACTTATCCTGGATATACAACATTGTGTTGTCAGAAGGTCTGTCTCGTAGGGGCCTTGGTCTTGGGTCATCATCCTACCTCAGGAAGTGGGTATTTCTTCCTCTTCTTATGATGCCACACTGTTCTTCTGTCTTTATAGTGATCACCTGATGATTTCTTATGCTTGGGTAGCAGGTTCTGAAATTACGCTTCAATGGTTGGCTAAAATGTCTTCTCCAAGTAAGAGAAGGGAGATGGATGTCATGAAACTGTAAGTTTCCTTCTCTACTCCATGCTCAGCATTCAATCATCCTTTCTTCTAGCAATGTCTCTCTCCGATTCTCGTAGTGTTCAGAGCATTGACAGAGTTTATTGTTGGACGATTTAGCGGTGATGTTGTGGTCCTCTAGGCGGTTTGATTTAATGCTTTCTTAGCTAATGTGTATATTAACCCTGTGTGATGTGCTTTGGCTTTTGAGATGGTAAATCAACAAGTGTAGAAGCTAGCAGGAGTGAGAACTCTGGTTATTAGTGAAACAATATGATACTTGTCTGATTACCTCAGTGATTTTATGTTGGCTATGCTATTCTAATCACTGCAGAATTGAGAGTGGATGTCCCTCATTTACAACCTGCTCAGTTTATTGTTGGGATCCATTCTCAAAGTCGAGCTTTTTTATAGAATTCGATACTAAAATACTGGATTTTGCTAACCATCTCGTTTTCCCCGTCTTACATCTTCCATTATAATGAGTGATTAGATGCAGAGGAAATAACTAAAGAGTGATCCAAGCTTCCATACAATACGAAGTTAGGATGCTGCAGAAGTGAACTTGGATAATGATGTTATCTCTCCAGTTTTGCTCTCCATGTGTGATCTCGTAATGGGGATTGTAAATAATGAGTGGTTATCTTTTCCATTTTGGATGCTGAAATAAGTGACATTCAAAAATGAATTTTGTTTTTCAAGCTTTTGTTTTCAGGATGACGAGTGATTACAACGCGGAGGACGATAAATGATGGGCTCAACGAATATAATGTCGAGTTTCATGATCCTAAAGAAAGTAACGTTCTTTTTGCCTCTTTGTGCCATATCTTCACACCATTTTTAACATGTCTGTATTCAGTTGAACTCTTAGTTACATGTTGTTTATTTACTGTTCTATTAGGCTTGTTTCACATGTCCCTCTTTCTCTCCCCCCGTGTTACTCAGCTTTATCGTTGGGATCCATTCTCAGACGTAACTTCGGAATCGATATTGATGCAGCACAGAAGCAATCTCAGTTCATTGTTGGGATCCATTCTCAATGTGAACCAACGTAATTTTCATTACTCTGCTTTGCTTATAAAATTCTGAAAGTAGTCAACGAGCGAGGAACCATCTTGAGTAGGGTTAGTTCTTATAGTATAATCACTCTGTTTTGCTTATAAAACTCTTAGGGTAAAAAATGAAGAAGTCCGCGGAGGAAGGACTGTTACGAAACAAAGCGTCTAATTAACTGACATACAGTAAGACATAAGGGTTTGTTTTCATTAGAACATCGTTTTCATCATTCTTTTTTACCTCTTCCTCTGTTTCTTTCCAAGACTGCATATCTGATCCATATTATATCCATGGGGTTTAACTGTTCAAGTTGGCAGGTTGTGCATGCATGGTTCCTATTTGGCGTTTTACATCCTGTCTTGTTTGGCACCAGGGATGTTGCTGTAATCAATTCTGCATTTCGCCATTGTTAACGAACTTCCTTTGGCTGTGTGCTTGGGATCCGAAAACGGCTGAAATGTTTTGAAGGAGTTAGTCGGAGTTAAGGGCATCTTTCTTTTGGATTTTTGTACAGTACTATTCATCTGTCGAGAAAGCGACTCGATTTCTGGTAGCAATCAACGAAAGACGGCCGGGGTGGGAAATGGGATTTAATGAAGTGGATTTTAGTAAACAAATTGTAAAGTGTACTTCAGTTAAGACAGTTGTTGTTACAAGAGAAAAGAGAATTGAAAATTGCAGTCGTCGATGCATATGTCATTGAAGGAGCTCTGTTTCTTTACGATGTTCAACTTAATTAATCTCTGGGTCAGATGCATTGTGCAATAATACGGTCAATATGCAAAATGAAGATGGTGACATTCTCTAATTTATTTACTGGTAGGAAGGGGGGAAGTAATGTATTTTAGCTAGGGTTCATACTAAATCGGCATCAGCTTTTTTGGGTTAGTAGTAAACGGAATTATTTTTATATATTCGTAGAAGGGATCGAGAGTGGGTGGTTAAACCATGGTTTGAGGTCCGTTCGCTTAGAAAAAATTGAGTCTTTGACTCTTTGTAGACGGGCGAGTGATGTGAGTGTGTCATAATTTCGTGAATCTCCAATCCCAATCCGTAGAATGTGATGAATAGGCATTTCTAACATTCATTAGATAAGGAGAGACAAATTACACACAAATTAGTTGTTCAAGCAATAAATTTACAGATGGCCTAAAGACTAATTGGTGAAATGCTTTTTGCATTCCAACCATACCCTTCCATGATCCCTTCGGGCCCAACTCGAAAAAGAATGTGGATAAGTAACGATTCATATTTATGTGAACATGTTTGTATGCAGATGAGTTAATTTTGAGATCGAAACTCACCCAACAACCACCTCCTATTTATCCATCACATAAACCGATCTGCAACAAAAGGTTTCAAATTTTTTGGTGAAAATGGTTGGTTACAACAGTCACACGCAAATAAGCGAATCGGTTTGGTTTCAGTTAATAACCGAATTGTGTTTTGTAATTACCTTTTTTGTTTTGTTTAACCCCTTAATAGTAACGGTTCGGTTGCATCTGAATGTGATTCATGATTATCATCTTAACATTTCTTAACCACAGACCAAACCGGTTCACTCACCCTAATTTTTAGCGCCAAATTCCCAACTACCCAACAAGAGAAACGTCTGAAGAGGTCGTTAGACGTGATCCCCAATACTCCCGACTCATTCAAATCCTCTGCCACGGCAAAACAGAGAAGTCCACTTGTCCGGCCGGCCGGGCCTTCCCCTGTTCTTCCCATTTGGAAAATGATTTCGCCATTACAGACTAGCTCAAGCTAGCAAGCAAACAAACAATCTCCCCCCTTTTTGGCGGCTATCCAATTGTTCCGATTCCAATCGGCTCATCCACTTGGCGCTCAACAGTACTCCCACCAGTGACAATCACCCTTCCAGCTATTTCTCTCTTCCGCCATTTCATACCCCTTCCTTTCGGTAATATTAACCCTGAGGAAAACAAAAACAGAGCAACCCACCAGAATTTCTTCAGGGGAAGAAGAAGACGATTAGAATGGATGGAATCTCCATCTGGGTACTCCTAATTTCAACTTCCTTCTTCATCCCAAGCTCAATTTCCGAATCGGAAGACGTCAGGACCTCTCTGATTCAGTTCATCACCAACCTCTCCAACGGCACTTTCCCGCCGAGCCCAAGCTCCGGCTGGAACTCAACTTCCGACCCTTGCACAGCCAATTGGACAGGGGTGGAATGCGACAAGCCGAATTCCCAAGTCAAGAAAATCATCCTCGATGGGTTTAATCTCACCGGAAATTTCGACTCTGCCTCACTCTGTTCCGCCCCTGCTCTGGCTGTCCTCAGCTTGAACGGGAACCTCATCGCCGGTTCTCTCCCGGACCAAATTGGAGACTGCCGGCGGCTCACTCATATCTACCTCAACGGGAACCGGTTCTCCGGTCCGGTGCCTTCGACCGTCTCCAGGCTCAACAATCTGAAGAGGTTTGAGATTTCGAATAATGGCTTCTCCGGTCAGCTCCCTGACCTCACAAGGGTTTCGGGATTGATCGCTTTCGTCGCCGACGGGAATCAATTCACCGGCGGGATACCTTCGGGGTTCGATTTCACCAACCTGGAGAGATTCAATGTCTCTAACAACAACCTCGGCGGTCCAATTCCTGACGTGGATGGGAAATTCGGCATCACCAGCTTCTCAGGAAATGCGGATCTCTGCGGGCCTCCGCTTCCAAACTCGTGCCCTGAATCTGAATCCCCGCCGCCGTCTCCGCCGCCGCCACCGTCCTCATCAAAACGTGATAAAAACAGGACCCGCGATCAGATCCTGATATTCTCCGGCTACATTCTGCTGGGGCTGGTTGTGGTCTCCTTCATCGTTGCCAAAACAATCCGCAAGAAGAATCAGAAGAACAGAGTGAAGTCCGGCGGCCGCCGCGGCGGCGGGAGAAACAGAGAATCGTCTACTACCCGAGAGACGAGTGGTTCTGCTAGTACTAGTAAGAGCACTTCTAGCGAGGGGAAGTCGAAGGCGACGACGACGGCGGGGAACAGCAGGTCGGAGATGAGATCGGAGTACTCGATCACGTCGGCAGACAGTGGAGCTGCGGCTGCTTCGTTCGAGGTCCTGTCCAACCCTTTGGTAAAAGGGTTGAAGTTTAATGACCTGTTGAAAGCTCCGGCGGAGCTGCTCGGGAAAGGGAAGCACGGCAGTGTGTACAAGGTGGTTTTGGATAACGGGGCGGCGATCGCTGTGAAGAGGACCAAAGATTGGGGGATTTCGTGTGAGGATTTCAGTAGGAGGATTAAGAGGATTGATAAGGTGAAGCACCCCAGAGTTCTGAATCCATTGGCGTTTTACTGCTCGGATCAGGAGAAGCTTCTGGTTTATGAGTATCAGCCCAATGCCAGCCTCTTCATGCTTCTCCATGGTAAGGGATTTTCCAGATTTCTTTCTATTCTCTTTGGTGGTAATGAACCAAAACACAGGAATCCAATCTATTTTTCAAATCCTC